TTTTTTTTTTTTTTTTTTTCGGAAGATACTGCGATGCAGTTGCAGCATTTGTGGAGCTCCGAGGTTGGGTGGATGCAGCCGGGCCCAGGCAGGCTTGGAGTGTGCTATCAGAAAACGCACAATTAAACCCGCAGCTCCCCACAGATAACATCCACATCTTCAGACATTCCGAGGGGGCTGGGGCCCCGATGCATCAACTTGATAGATTCCATGGCCGTCGCTTATCGCCAGCATCAGCTGGGATTGCAGCCCCAAATTCTTGTTCCGAAAGCGGCATTCAACCGCTAGTTGAAGGACCGGATTCGCGCAAATGCAAACGATGTCGGACACAGGCTTAGCTGCTCTGCTGCGAGCATGTGGTAATTGCATGTTACAAAGTTTAAGCGGTAGTCCCAGTAAGGAATGGGAAGAGGCTGGTGCGGCAGCCAATGCAGACATTTGAGCCCCATCGTCCAAAATTGGCCAGGGCCATTTTCCAAATCCTCCCCAGCGATGTGCTCAGTACTTTCAAACATGTCAAATGTGCGAGTGTAGGCACGCCCTGCGTGGCTCAGGAGCTTCCGGATATTCCCGATTGGCGCGTGAGTCGGCTTCCAGGCAAAAAGGTTTTCATGTCATTGAGTGGTTGCGTGCAACTTGATGAAAGGAGATCGAAGCATTCCTTCTTTCAGCCGGGAGGTGGCGCCGCAGTCTCAGCTTGCACACGGTCATTTGCATTAACAATTTCTCTCGCGTTTGGTCCAGGAAGCTAGCCATGGAATCCCGAAGCGAGGACAAAGTTTTCAAGGTCTTTTTTTTAGCGCAAAGCTCCTAAGTGTTCTGCTGGACAGGACAGGTTCACTCCGCCAGGCTCCGTCCGCGCCGTGGAGAGCCAGGAAGTCAAGACGCAACTGCCTCAGCAGGCTTTGTTTGGGATGGGTGAAGCGGATTGCTGGAGTATCCCGGGGTCACCTTATTCCAGGTGGTGGTTCCAATCGTGGACCGGAACTCCGCTAGGCTTCGCCATGCGCACAAAGCACGTTCTCTCTGGTTGTTGTTATCCTGTTTCTGCCAAATTCATCCTCCTAACTCTCCCTTGAGCCTCCGCTGCGCATTGCCGCCCCAGCCCTACAGCTTATAAGCGTAAGGCGATGAAGCATGCCAATCCCGCCACTTCCTGAAGTCTGCCCTCCCCAATCCCAGACATGGAGCCTCCAAAAAGGCCGCTTGCTCAGAAGCAGTGGGATTTGTGCCGGTTTCTGGTATGCACTGACCACAATCTGTCTGAGGTCAGGTCTGCCCAGCATACTGGAAAGAAACTCGAAGGCAGAGTCTTGCTCCGGTGATGCAATTGGCTAGTAGGTTCTGTAGCACGCGGTCAGGCACATCTCGGCCAGAACTCTTGTTCCGACCCTACGAAATCCACTTGCTGGACATGGTGCGTCGGGGGGTCTCCGCCTGAAAAGCATCTCAACAGGCCCCTCGCTTCATTTTGGCCCATGCCCGAGAGATGTTGCTGAAGCGGGCCACGCACCCAGCACGATCCAGCATACAGGTGTTTGGATCTTGCCTGCTAGCGGCACGAGTCAACCTTCACCCAGCATGTTTTCAAATGTACTGAAGAGTGTGAATTTGCAGGCCAGTGTACTTCACAACCTCATGGATTTCAATCAGAGACCCAAGTGCATGTGGAAACATGAGTAGAGACGGGGTTTATCAAAGGTCTTCGAGTTTTTTGTTGAATATCCCTGCCATACAGTTTTCCTCTTCCCGTGTGTTGGTTGACATGCCAACACGCTTTCCCAACTTTCTTTCACGAGACTTCATTGGGGTTGGCAATTGTAGCTTCATTTACCTTTCACACTCCCTGGCGATCTCTTAAACAGATCAGTTTGGTTTTCCCACAAAGCCATTCAACTGAGCTCCCGCAAGCTCTGCAGTTGACACAGTCGGGCTTCGGATATGATAGAAGGAAAATTGAAGGCGTAGGAAGCAGGAATTATCAAAATTCCCCGAAACCAGTCTTCAATCTGGCAGAAGGCAACGAAGGGCTGGCAGGCAGCCCTCTGGCTGACAAAGCAGTCAATGGATCAAGGACGCTTTGCGTTGTTTCTGGAAGGAGCAACAGCGACAAGTCTGCAGGACATCAATGAAGGGCTCGGTGTGCTTACCTCCAATTCAGGCCACAGCAAAAAATGCAACTATATTTGAATGCGCATGCATTCACGTTTTGAGGCTGTTGTGCCAATTCACGAGGGCTTTGCCTTGGCGGAGGCCGCACAAGAGCCTTGGTCACATGAGTCAGGCTCTCGTGCTCTCGTGGATGTTTTGGGCAGGACTCCACGCCGACAGTGAGCTATATCCGTGCATGCCAGAGGACAGTTAAGACAGTGAGAGGTCAATCTGTGGTCAGCATGCAGAGAGCATGAAAGCAATAGCCTGACATGCGTGTCTCTTGAAATTTTGCTAGAAACAGGGAGCTGGTCTTGCCGATTCCTTCCAGTTTTGCCAGCACCCCAACCCCTGTGGCCTTGCTCTTTTGCCTCTCAAAATGTGGTTATGCTAGAGGTCACTGGACATTCCGGCAAGGTGGACGTTGCCCAGGCGTAGGTTTTTAGCGAAGTAGAGCGAAGTACTCGCAGTATCACGAACCTCAGATCACCTTAGGATACCTAACAGGTATGTTCGGACGCTGAGCTGGCAGCGCTGGGTGCCGTCGGCCGTGGCCCGAAACGGAGCCGTCATGCGCCACAAGAAATGCAACATCTTATACTCATAGTGTCAAGCAGTGCCAAGCCGTGCCACGCAGTGCCGTGCAGCTGAGTGCAGTTTTTGTTTCAGGGCGCTTGGCTGCAGTCGAGGCAGGCACCTGCGATCCGGCGGTAGAGCTGCTTTTTCGAAACAAGCTTCGAAGAGCTGCGAAGATCTGCGAAGAGGATGTGGACTTGTCCAGCAAAGCCTTGTCCGACGCTGCAGTGGCACGCTTCTGCCAGGAATTTCCATTTCATGTTTCCTCTTGTGATCGTACATGTCTTGCAGGCTCTGACACGTTTCGACTGTGACGTCTGAAGTTTGGCAGGACGTTCTGCTGGCCGACCAAAATTTGCACAGCCTGCAGAGGCTACACTCACCTCCACAGCTGGACAGACTGTTGAAACGTTTGGAGTGTGAGGCTATGTTTGAAGGAGGCGCATGTGGCGCAGGGAACTCAAGCTGCCCTTGTCAGGCAGAGATGTGCTCGCATACAGACATCTTCTCATCTCCTAGGCTGCCCATGCTTCTGTCTGTTCTTTCGTTTTGGAGGCTTCTTCAGAAGGGTGGTGCCGAAAACTTGCGCTTCCTTGACCTGAGTGGTGCATGGAACTTAGCAGAACTCTTCACGTGTTCGGCTCTTGAGTGCCTCCACCGTTGGGCACAGGTATCGATGAGCATGCGCCACCTACCTGCCTTTTGCGAAGCTGTCGAGCCCTGAGCTTTTTGCAAACATTTGGACATGCTTGGAGTTTCACTGAAACGATCAGAGAACAGGGACAGAGGTGGGCCTAAGGTGGGGTGCAGTGAAGTTCAACCAGGCAAAAAGCACCGTTTGAGAGGTGCTGTCAGGGCTCACGTGCAGACTTTCCGTGCTCTGGGCAGACAAAGTTTGCGCACATGTTGCTTAGATGTGCAATGATGTGCATATGGCTTCTGGTTGCTGTTGTCTTTTGGGTTGTTGCCGAGCCAGCAGTGGGCCCCCACATAGGCAGCAGGAACCTAGGCCGAAATCACAAGTAGATCACAAGAAAACAGAGCCGGGCCTCTGAGCTGAGACATGCTAAGACCATATTGCTTGACGACGGCCACTGTTATCTTGACCACACTTTCCCCTGCAGCTCAGACCATGCCTCACTCCCAGGGTCACAGATGTAGATGAGCACACGCAACTTTTGCAATTCTTGAAGGACATGTGGCGAGACGAGCATTTGCCAGAAAGTGAGCCGTATTTCTCCTGAAAAGGCCAAGAGCAAGGACGGAGTCAAAATGATTGCCAAACGGCTGGGGTGGATAAGCAAGCTATCTTCCAGAGACAGCAGAGGCAAGACGAGACATACGGTTCTTACAATGCAAGGCGCGACGCACAGTTTAAGGAGTTGTTGTCATGCAAGGTGCAGTTGAAGGAAATAGGATCCTGCCTACATCTTGCTGAGACACTCAGACACTCCCACTTGTGAATCCCAAGATGATTCGAAGTACACCGAGACAATCAAGGCTATCGCATAGGTGCTCTTTCGCTTCCGTCACGAACTGCAAGGCAAGAGTGGCACCAACATCAATGTGGTGGAGAGCGAACAAGCGGAGAAAGCATACATGACAAGAACAGACAACGCACTCGATGACCAGGAACTTTTTGCCTACTTCAATAGAGGCGGTCCAAGAAAGCAACCTTGCACCTGTGTTCGGAAGCGAACTGCGGGAGAAGACCCGGGCGAGGCATATATTTCATCATATTCCATTGTTTTCATGATTGTCCATCATCTTCTATGATTTCCATCGTTTTGACAATTTCAATGATTTCCCAACAAGTTCCCATGTGATATCATTATCTTTCATCAATGTTCATCATCTTCATCAGGTCTCGTCATTTTTCGTCACATAGTGTCATTTTCATCAGAGTGCAACATTTCATACTTTTCGGCGTTGTTCATCATGTTTCACTGCTTTTGTAGTTATTCATCCTTTGTTGCGGTTTTCCATCATTTTCCATCATTCTTATGATTTGCAAATGGCACCCTCCCTCCATCCGCGACCCCATTCCCCAAAACACAGTATGAAGCATAATTTCCAATCCGGCTGCCACTTCCTGCAACCATCGCCTCAGACAATGCACGACCAGTGTCCCTTCAATCGCTTATGGATGCGTGGCACGTTCAGGCAGCCAGACACGCCTTGGCTCCTCTGCTTGAGATGCTGCCAAGGCAGGTTTCTAGGTTTAACGATGGGGGTAAAAAGGTGTTAGTGTTAGGTCTCATAGAGCCCAGCTGGAGGGCTTCCATACCCAATTTCCACGAAAATGGGGTGGACTCTGAGCATACGACTTCTTCAGTCGCCTCTATCATCTTCCAGATATGCCAAAACAGAACTCATGGGCATTAAACACTCGCACAGCTTTCTTGGCGCGCCGCCAACTCAGGATGATCACAGATGATAATTGAAAATCCCTGATCATATTTCATTATCAAACCTGCAGAAATCAGTTTGTTCTCCAGAATGACGGCTGATTTTTTCTAATACGATGTTCCTAAACTGTCAGGTTTTGCACGACCTGTTCATGAAGCCTTCAGGCCCGTGTCATCCAAGGGAGCAAAGCTCCTTTCCTGAATGGGAAATGACCGCATCGCAGACTACTTCTGCGGCGAGGGAAAGAAAAAACATCATCCTCGTCACCATGGATCCTGCCTATTGACACCTTCCATGAGCCATGGTTCATTTACGTCAGATGACATCAGCAAATAGCCGCCGATCCTTCTATGAGTTTGGAAGTCCAGCTGGCGGGGAGGACTCCACAGCTTTCCAAAGTATCCTGACATATTTGCCCGCAAAGCAGGCGTGCAAAAGGCTTGTCCCCCATGTCAAAAATCTGATTGACCCAACCTTTCGGAATTGCACATGCGGGGGTACGGAGACTCAGGCAATTTGGAGGATGAAGCCATTAACAAAAGTTGCACGACTTTTTTTTTGTTTTCGGAATATCGTCCTGCGCTGCGTGCCAAACGCTCTCTCTGGTCGCTTGTCCCCGCACGCTGCTTGCAAATGGCAAGTCGTGCGGTGCAGACACGAAGGAACACAAAAGATTAGGGAATTCATACAGCAAAAAGTAGGAGTCAGTCTGTGCAGCATGTTCTGAGCCATGTTAGGGTTGAAATCTCTGAAAGCCTTGCTGAGACCTGTTGTGATAAGTGATTACCACCCTTGAGTTGCAAGAGCTGCATCGATGTGAAATAGTGCCTAGGTGATGTAGCGTAAGCCGTGAAACAGGCTTGCAAGGTAATTCAGGTAAGCATGAAAGTCACGGCCATGCTCGTGCGATTCAGGTGGAGAAGCACAGATCTCTGTCGACGCTCAAGTTGAGCAACACAGGGCCTGTCAGCCAGCTTGTCAGCCTGTGTGCTCTGCACATGGACATGCCACCTCCTGGCAGCACAGGTTGGGCAGGGCCATGGATGTCAAGCGCTGCCTGTCCCAAATTTTAGCCAACGGAATTGAGGCGCCCCGAGCTGCTAATCAGTCATTTCTGTGCGAGCCACGTTTCAGTTTCCGCCAGGTCCTTGATATTGGTTGGAACTGCTTGGCTGCAGAGGAGAAGCTGCGGAGCAAACGGGTAGGATTGTTCTGACATTTGGATTGCTCCGAGGAGTTGAGATTTCTGGGAGAACTCATGGTCTCAAACAAGTACGAAGCCGTCTCAGGAAATCTCGTGAAGGCGTAGTTGACACTGGAATGCAAGGCTCTTCTTGCCATTTTTGAGGTCAAGCAGCTCAGCCTGGCAAACTGTGCATCAAGCAGCCAGAAGAACCACCATATCTCCCCTTGCGTGTGCCCTTGTTCATGCCGGACTTGTACAAGTACAATCGAGGTGCAGCTAGCGCTTAAAATCCACAGAGTAAAGAACTCTGTCGTGTAGTGTTTTGAGAATAGGATGAGCAGACGGTGTGCATTCCAGGCCGTTCCGCGCGCCTTAACCTTGAAGCTTGATTAACTTGCAAACACCAGGGAACACTTCACGGGTGTGGACGCAGATCGGCTGGAGCTGAGAGAACGCGGGATCAATTTTGACCTGCTTGTACAAAATGCAGGGAGCACGATCAGTGGACCGGTGTCAAGCGCGACTCCTTGATGGACCAGGTAAAGACATGTACATGACGATGGAAGCAAATCTCCAGCACAGAGCACAGCTAGAGTTTACAAGAAGCACTGCGACAAAGTCTCTAGACAGCAGTAGGACTGCACTGAGAAGCTGTTACGTGACGCTGTGACACGTATTTCTGATCTTATTAAGTAGACCTTAGTCGGGCCGAGCCATTGGAGGTACTTCTTGGAGCAGCTTGTGCACGGCACGGCGTTGGAGTCCTTGGACATCTCTATGAATCGGCTCGATTTCCGTGGCGCGTCCTAGGCTCTGTGCAGTCTGCTCACCATGCCCAGATGCTGTCAGTCCCAGTCCTCAGGCTTGTGATCGAGGACGCGCTTGGGCAGAGCAGGAACTGCAGCACACGCAGTCACCATGGTCGTGAAGCATCGCGACTTACGAATGTAGGAAGCTTACGAGCTTAGTCATGTCGCACAACCCATTGGGCGTCATGGGCCTGCTGGAAGCTCAGCATCCAGTCTCGAGCATGGTGACCAAGAGCACCTGTAGCCGAGTTCTCTTCCATACACTGATTAGAACTGCGAGCAGACGGCATCTATTAAATTCTATTACCATGCAGCGCACAGCACAACATGCCCAACGACATATGCCCCTATGACTCACAATGCGAAACTTCTTCTGAAGATAAAATCATGTCCAATTCGTGCAGACACGTGCCTTGCACATGCAGGGGCTGGACCCCACAGGCAATCAATCAATCAATCCAATTCATGACCAGGCGCGCCATTTACTTGCAGAAGGGGTTGCTTCACGAGTACTTGGTTGCAATCATGTCCATTGTATCTACCTGACTTTTAGGGCTTCGATGAGAACAGATGATTTCTATTCTCACAAACCAGCGCCGATGAAAGCCTCCCCGACTCCGCCTTGCAGCCGTGACTGAGGCGCAGCCTCCTTCGGCTCCTGGCCAGGCAACGCTCCGGCCTTGTTTCGTTTGAGATTGAGAACTGCTCCTCGGATCAAATTGAATCTAGCGTGACAGAAGCTGGTTTTCCAGAGGCACGCTCCCTGAGGCTTCAAGGGTGAAATCCTGGCATCTGTGGAAGGCATTCAGGCAAGCCTGCATGATGGTTCAAAAGGTTGCACGAGGTAGCTCTGTGGCCTAGGTCTTCACGTTCACCAACCCCGGGGGTCATTACACGCTGGATCTCGAGAGGCGTGCCTGGAGGTCTCTTGCAGCGTTCTTAAGCTCGTTTTATGTGCTGAATTGCGCAAGGCCTTACCATCGCTCTCTTCTTCGCACTCTGTACAAGCTCCTGGTTCTCACAGGCCAGGACCTTTGACAGGGAAGATCTTTCCAGCTAAGGGTTGGTGAGCGGTTGCGACTACCCCCCGCCAGTTGCCCAGCTAGCACTGCGGGTTTTGCCTGAGATTCTTTCCGTGTTGTCCTCTGAGGCGGATACGTTTTCTAACGTGTCCTTCAGCCTGGGCACTTTTGTGCTTCCTTTGCAGAAGCTCTGCAAGAAAATTGGAAGATTTAGGGCTTCCGCTTTGGACATTTTCGGTCTTGCTGTATTTCAAGGTGCGACTCGAACGGCCTTTGGCCTGTGCCAACATCAGGAGCACGAAGCCGTTGAATTCTGTTTATGCAGTTTATGCAAGATGGTTGTTTGCGCTCTATTACCTTGTTCGACATAGGAGTTCTGAAGGTAAGCTTCAGCATTGAACAGGCTGAGAGCTTCATGGTTGTTTGCCATCCTTGTACGCGTTGATCTTGGCTGTCACTTGGCCTGCCTCAGGCGATGAAGCAGGCAGTGCGCGACGTTGCCGAGGATATGTGCGCAACATGTGCACCGTTCGATTGGATACATTGGATCATGGTGATGCAAACTCTGCTTTTCGAATGCTGGTCTTGGCATCCCGACAGAGCCGACCTTGCAAAAGGATTTGGATGTCAGGTGCACGTCAGAAGTAAGAAACCGCTGCTGGCATTCCAAGACACATAGGGCGCGGCGTGCACCAAGCTAGGTTGTGAGCCTGGGCTCGCCATCTCTTCTGCTTTGCCGTGTTGTGTGTTGTGACAGAGCAGGCCTAGGACAAATAGGAAAAACGGTTGATCTGTTCAAGCACTGCCTGCTTACAGGTCTAGATCGTGCGGGGAGGCAACAACTAGGGACACAACAGTGCTTTTCAGACATTATCGACCATCGTTGAATCCGCGTCATAGTGATATGCCGAAGATTTCGAGCGAGTATTAAGAACCTCGCGCATCTACAACATGTTTTAGCAAGAATCGAGCAGGGGATTTGCGGCTATTCCAAAACGAGGGCGCTGCAGAGGATTCTGCGCATTAGAGTGCAGGATCCACGAAATGCAAGGTCTGAAAGTGAGGGAGCCGATGCCCTCAACCGATACGTGCATGTTTGTCCGCGACGATGATGCGTTGGTTTGCCCCTTGCACCAGGCATGGCCCCCCCCTTATATATGGTCTTGAGGGGGGGGGCTAACAGATGGTCCCACCACTTTTGGGGATGGTCCCGGACCACTTATGGTCACCGTGGCGACGGTGCCAAAATTGGTCCGGGGACCCTTTTCTTGTCGCATGCGTTCTGCAGTGTAAGCGTGACTTCCTGTTCCTGCAGGCTCCAGTTCCTTTTTCTTGTAGGACTTGGCAGAAATTTTTCAGGCGGTGACCTGATGCTGCAGGTAGGCATGAGCAAACTGGACTCTTTTTATGGCAGAACCTGGGACTCTTACAGACACTCTGCTCCATCATCTCTGCGTTGGTTTAGATTTCATTGTTCTGCTACTTCAAACGACTTGCCAAAACGGTCGCTACAGCGTGCATGCAACCGTGCACAGCGAGCACTCCCTTCTTTTTTGCTGCAGGAGGCGGAGCGAAGCGCATGTCGGAAGCACCTCAGGTTGGTGCAGAACGGGGGGTTGGTTGAGGGGTGGTT